CTGAGTGTTGGGATTATGTGTCACCACTGCCCAGCTTGGTCCTGATTCTTAATGCTACTGATGCCAGTCACTCTTTCTGTTTGTTTGTTTTTAGACAGGGTTTCTCTGTGTAGCCTTGGCTGTCCTGGAGCTTGCACTGTAGACCAGGCTGGCCTCGAACTCACAGAGATCCACCTGCCTCTGCCTCCTGAGTTCTGGGATTAAAGATGAGCGCCACCACGCCCAGCTCCTGAGTTTCCCTAAATATGTATAAAACCAATGCCCAGTGTGAGAGAAGAGTGGGAAAACTTTGTCACACCCTGTTGAAGGGATGCTGGTGCCTGAGACAGTAACAGCAGCACTAAATGAGCACAAGACAAACTTGTGCTAAAAACATGCAATTGTGGGTGCACAGATCGTCCTTGCAGACTCATTGAGGCACCTTTGGTGTGAGTGCAGTGTTCCTCTCTGTAGAGCGCTACCTTAATCTGCTGTCGGCCTTACAGTGTATCTGCATCCAGCTTTCCCTACTCAGCAAGGACTGTGCTGGTTGGTTCTTGTAAGCTTGACACAAACCTAGACATATCTGGGAAGAAATCTTTTTTTTTTTTTTAAGATTTATTTCATGTGCATCAGTGTGTTGCCAGTCTGTATGTCTGAGTGACAGTGTAGGATCACCTGGAACTGGAGTTACAGACAGTTGTGAGCTGGCATGTGGGTGCTGGGAAATGAATCAGGATCCTTTGGAAGAGCAGCTAGTGCTCTTAACACAGAGCCATCTCTCCAGCCCCAGAAGAGGGAATCCTAATTGAGAAAATGCCTCTATAAGATTGGTCCATAGGCAAGTATATAGGACATTTTTTTTTTTGAGTAATGATTGATGTGGAAGGCTCCACCCCCTGTGGGTAGTGCCATCTCTGGGCAGGGGGTGTCCTAGATGGTATGAGGAAGCAGGCTGAGCAAGTCAATAATCAACACTCTTTCATGATGTCTGCCTCAGTTTCTGCCTCCAGGTTCCTTCTTTGACTTCCTTCAATGATGGGCTGTGATGTGTTTGTGTAAGTGAAATACTCTTTCCTTCCCTTGCAAGGTGCTTTTGGCCGTGGTGTTTTATTGCAGCAATAAGAAGCTAACTAAGATAACACCCATGTCCCTCTCTGACAGTGTGAACCTGGGAGAGTGCAGGGCAGGAGCTAAAAATGAGGCAAACTACAGCCCCATGCAATAGCCAACTTTATTCAGAGCATCAATTTATACTCAGAGGGTTAAGAAGACTCACCTGAGTAAAGTGTACAGTCACAAGGACAAGCCACATGTGGCAAAAACATGTTTTTCTATAGAGGCTGTGGTAGTTTGAATGTAATTGTCCCGCTAATCTCATAGGGAGTGGCACTATTAGGAGATGTGGGTTTGTTGGAGTGTGTATGGCCTTGATAGAGGAAGTGTGTCACTGTGGGGGTGGCCTTTGAGGTGTCCTATGTTCAGGATACTGCCTGGTGTCTCAGTTGACTTCCTGTTGCCTGCAAGATGTGGGACTCTCAGCTTCTCCAGTGCCACGTCTGCCTGCTACCCACCATGGACTGAACCTCTGGACTATAAGCTGCGCCTCAATTAAATGTTTTCCTTGATAAGAGTTGCCATGGACATGGGTGTCTCTTCACAGCAATAGAAACCCTGACCAAGACAGAGTCATATGAATAACAACAGCTGAAGTAAACTCATTCCCATCCACTATTCCTGGAAGTAGCATGAAAGCACATTCCAAGAACAATTCTGTCTTTTTGAAGAGTTTTCTCCCAGCACTCAGAATTCTCCTGACACAGCTGCATTCCTGGACTGTGATCCAACAAGTAGCCATGCATTTTTTTCCCTCTGTTTTAAATCTTCCCGTGATTATTTTTGTAATTAGCATAAAGTCCAGGTGCACCAGAAAATTTGCTGGAAGGCAAGGATGGCCCCGGGGCTGAGTGGCAGTGCATATCTAGTCCCTCCATCTTCCACCCTACTGTCCATCCCTCGGGGTACTCACCTCTTTGGCCATAAGATGCATGTTTTAAGACAGGCTTTCATCTGCTGGGCTCAGTGCCTTGGGAGCAGAGTAAAAAATGGTCCTTATTATAAGGGGTAAAGCAGAGGATGGGTGATCTCAGTGTATAATCACACAGCAGGCTGACTGTGTGCTTTCAGTGAGGCATACTAGATGCTGTGGATACAAAGGGACTTAACGCTGGCTGGGCTACATGAGTTTGAGTCTAGCCTGGGATGCAGAGTGAGACCCTGTCTCAAAAATCAAACAGGTTGGCTGGAGAGATGGCTTAGTGGTGAAGAGCACTGGCTGCTGTCTGAGAGCACTGGGTTTGAGTCCCAGCACCCACATGATGGCTCACAACCATCTGTGACTCAGTTCCCGGGATCCACCGTCCTCTTGTAATCTCCCTGGGCACCACGCATGCATGTGGTGCGTATACATACATGTAACCAAAACCTGTCACACACAAAAACAAAGTAAATAAATCTTTAAACTTTTTTTCAAACCAAACAGGCAAAAAATTATTAAGATATGTTTTTGAGCTTGACCACTTTTGTGGACACATAGAGGAATCTTCTATCTTGACATGTTAACTGTACTGGATTTTTTTCCATCTTTGTAAATGGACCCCATCTCTCAGCATTCCTTCTATATACCTCTGGTCATACATTCATTGAGTTTAGAACTGGAAGGTGAACTGCATCTCAGGTGGAGCATTATTTAGCATTTGGACATTGAGGAGATTGTGGTACAGTATGGGATTGGTGTATACAAGGTCAAGAACCTTTTGTTCCTGGTCCTCATCTCTCTCAATCTCTTGGCTGCCTGATCTGCCCTCTTGAATATGCTAGAAGGTGCATTCCCCCTTGTGACTGCCCACTGACAGCCGTTGGACAGGAACCTTTGTGGGACTCACTTGGATCACTTCTCACCTAAATCATATGACCCTGAACATAAAGTAGATGATCCTGTGGGATTAACCTGCAAGGCTAACAGGGCTGTAGCTTGTGGGGGCCCATTTAGATTGCTGGATTTCTGATTCCCTGAGTAGAATCTGCCCCCCTCCATGTTAGCGAATTTGCACCCCAGAACTGGGATGGTGGAAGGCATGTGACATATCCAGAACAACAGGAGATACTTACATAGGATGGTGTCTGGAATTACTTGCTGAAATGCATCAAAATAGAATTGGGCAGATTCTTACAAAACAAAATGAAATAACAGAGAGAGAGAGAGAGAGAGAGAGAGAGAGAGAGAGAGAGGAGAGAGAGAGAGAGAACATACGAACTAACCGGTTCTTAAGAATAAGCCATTGTGGTGAGTGTGGTGGTGCGCGTCTTTAATGCCAGTGTCCAGCGGGAAGAGGCAGGCAGAGCTCTCTGAGTTCAACGCCAGTCTAATATACATAGAGAGTTCAAGTCCAAACAGGGTTACATAGTGAGACCTTGCCAGAAAAGGTGTGTGTGAGGACAGGGCTGGAGCAATGGATGGCTCAGAAGTTAAGAGCCCTGGCTGCTCTTCTGGAGCACCTACTATGCCTGCCTGCCTGCTACCATGTTCCCCACTGTGATGGCCATAGACTCTAACCCTCTAGAATCATGAGTCCCAAATTAAATGCTTTCTTTTATAAATTGCTTTGGTCATGTTGCCTTGTCATGGTAATAGAAAAGTAACTAAGATACAGACCAACCATTTTTGATAGCTGCCTCTGAAGAATGAAATGGGCCAGGAAGAACGGTGTCTTAATTAGGGATTCTATTGCTGTGAAGAGACTCCATTTCCATAAAGGAAAACATCTAATTGGGGCTGGCTTACAGTTTCAGAGGTTTAGTCCATTGTCATCATGGTGTGAATCATGGACACATGCAAGCAAGACATGGTGCTAGAGAAGGAGCTGAGAGATCTACTGTAGTCAGATTTTCTTTTGGTTCACCAGCACACACACACACACACACACACACACACACACACAAAACAGAGACTTATAGTTCATTATGAAAGCTTAGCCTTAGCTTAGGCTTGTTCCTAACTAGTTCTTACAACTTAAATTAACCCATTTCTATTCATCTATGTGTTGCCATGTGACTCATGGCTTTTACCTCTCCTGCATGTCTTGCTCTCCTCATCCAGCTGGTGATGCCGTGTTTCTTTTTCCTAGAGCTCTTGGTCCCCAGAAGTCCTGCCTAGCCTCTTCTATTAGCTATGGCCATTCAGCTCTTTATTAAACCAATCACAGTGACTCATCTTCACTCAGTGTAAAGGAATATTCCACACCATTCTACACCTGGATTGGTGGGCAGCACGAAGTAAAAATGAACCACTGGCCTGGTTTGAGCTTCGGAAACCTCAAAGCCTGATCCCAGTGACATGCCTCCTCCAAAAAGGCCACACCTACTCAAACAAGGCCACACTTCCTAATAGTGCCACTCCTTATGGGCTAATGGGGACCATTTTTTACTCAAACTACCACAAACAGGTACATAATACTTAGATTTTGACTAAATGATCTGTTCCTGCCCAACTTGTCAGATTTAAACTCTAAAAGAGTCTAAGCATGTACTGTGTTAGGGGAAATAGTAAACACCCTTTGCAGTGACAGCCTTCAGTACTCCCTCTAGGCCCTTCTGTGCTGGGCCAGATGGGCAGCTGACACTGTGTGACGCCTATATTTTCATCCAGTTACTCGATTCCACCTTCCAATTGACATCTGAGGCAAGTTTCTCTTGTTCCCATGTTACAGGCTGGCCTACTGGACACCCAGAGCAAGTGGGTAGCTTTGTGGCTTCCAGATCTGAGTGAGGCCAGTCCTCTTTCCACTTCACCTCTGGAAAGTGGACCTGAGCTTCACCCTGGCTGCTGCTATGACTTAGTGTTACCACGGTATCCAAAGAAACTGCTTTCATGTGTGGTCTGATTTCTGGATACCTTGTATCCTTGCTGCTCCACGCCCCCCCCCCATACACACTTTGTTTTTCCTGTGTTCCTTCCTCAGGGAGCCGTTCCATAAACTGCTAGCCCAAGGCCTCATCAAGGGACAGACATTCCGCCTTCCATCTGGACTGTGTCTAAAGAGGGAGGATATAGATTTCACAGGTAAGGTGGGCCCAACCTCGATGGAGCAGGTAAGAACCAAGGCCAGTCCAGGAGCTCCTAAGAAGCCAGCATCTGCTATTGGGCCCTGGTTGGGTGCAGAGACTGAGACAGATCCTGGTCAAGCCTCTGCAGTCTGCTCCTGGGACTGGTTATCCCCTTCTCCTGAGCCCCATCCTGTGTAACACAGTATTTGCTTGGGTGTTGCCCCCCTGTCCAGCCTTATTTGACAGCCCATTGCTGGACAGAGCCTCAGACTCAGAACATGGAGTCTTCCAGGACCTTTTCCCCCAAGACCTCAAAGCACAGCTGAGAACATGGGACCTCCACCCTGCCCACTTCCTTGGCCTCTGTGAGCAGCTCTGCTTCCCTGGGCCCCCGTTCAGGACCCACTCAGAATCGTGCACTGTTTCTAAGTATTCTTTTGGCATCTAGGTCCAGCCCCTGTTTGTGCAAGAACAAAAGAGAAGTTAGAGGTAACATGGGAGAAGATGAGCAAGTCCAAACACAACGGTGTGGACCCCGAGGAGATCGTGGCACAGTATGGGATTGACACAGTCCGGCTCTACATCCTCTTCGCAGCCCCTCCTGAGAAGGATATCTTGTGGGATGTAAAGAGTGAGTCTCCTTCCTTCTCCTGCTTGCTTCCTCTGCAGTCTGCCCTGATCTCTGAAAGAACTGGGGAAGGGAATGTCTTACTGGAAACAGTAATGGAGAATTCTAGAAGTCATCTTCTCCAGCCTTCTGTCCCACTCCAAGACCCCAGCTCTCCAGTGTTCAGGGACCTTGCACAGCCACATTTCCAGTCCTCACCCTACACTTGCTGGCAGTGGGGCCCATTGCAGGCTCTGTACTAATTATGATGTGAGGTCTCTAGACAACTGTTTCCTTGAAGACGAAGCACCTATGCTTACCTAGGCCTGCTGTGCTACAAAGAGGCAAGTCTTCTCTCCACATTTCCTGCAAGTTTTATTCTAGAACAGAGTCCTTGGGCTCACATGCAGCCTATCAGTCACTCCCTGTAGCTTCACTTCCCCTCAGGAGATTTGTCTTTCCAAAGCTTTCATTTTGCCTTAAGATCAGCGTTGGTGTGGGTGTGGGAAGTGAAAGCCAGGGCCTGTGTTACAAAGAGTGTGCTTTATCTCAGGATTGGCTGGTTTATCTCACTGCGTCTTATGGCAGTGGATCTGGACAGTGGTGACAGTTACCAGCCCTAACCATGCAAAGCAGTGTAGGCACTCGCTCAGTCTTCTCCTTTCCACATGAGAAAGTCCCCATATCTGCTTCTCACAAGCCTCCAGCTGCCTCTTCTGTGTCCCCAGTCTTGAGAACACCCAACCCAGTGGCTATGGGATTCAAGCATCTGTACCCTGTACCCACACTTATTTGGTCAGCTATGTGACCCAGGACCACCAAGTGGGCTGCTCTGCTTCCACAGATCAGAACAACCACTGTCTAACCCCTAGACTTGGTGAACATGTTTGGAATATATAGCACATACATACCTGGCAAGGTGAGGGGTTGTTTGCTGACCTCACACTACGCCTCAAGGCTGTTCCCAAGCACCTTTTTGCAGCCGCTGCCACTGTTACCTGTTTTCATGAGATCTCAGCTTCACTAGTGCTGGCAACTATGTTACCCTCTGTTGGCCCCAAGGCATGTCTGTCTGTCCCCCGAGATGGCAGTGTGCGGATGCCCATCCCAGGGTAGGTGGCAACTGCTGAGCAGCCCTGCTGCCCATGCTCAGAATATCAGGGATGCCAAAGGGGTTAGGGAGGACCCTGGAAGGACCATGGGGCATTTCTCATTCCTTCTTATCACTGCTCTTTCTTTGTCTTCTTGATTGCCACAAACTGCAGCCGACGCGCTCCCTGGAGTGCTGAGGTGGCAACAGCGGCTGTGGTCCCTGACAACACGGTTCATCGAGGCAAGGACTCGAGGGTCAGCCCCCCAACCCCAGCTGTTGAACAACAAGGAGGAAACCAAGGCCCGAAACCTCTGGGAGTACAAGAACTCAGTCATAACTCAGGTCAGCATCCATACTGCGCAACCTTTGCCCAGTGGTCTATACAGCCTTCACACCCTGGGACCACGGTGACCCTGCTTTCTTTGTGAGGTGGCCCTGCTGCCTCACTTCATCGCTGTCACTGTTTTGGCTGTTTTACTGAGACTTCCTAATGGCTGTCCCTCCCACCCTGCACCTTCTTCCATCCAGACCTCAGGAAGCCACCTCTTTCCTGTGTCTCTGGATTTGACCTGCAGGTGGAACCAATCTCTACTGAGACATTGCTCATTGTATTAACAGGGGTGCAGAGCTGAGAGAAACAGAGACTGCCATAAGATACCTTCTCATTTTATAGATGAGTTTAAGGCCCAGACAGGTCAGGTGTCTTGCTTAAAATCCTATAGCCAATGGGGAACTGAACACAGATTGGGATCCACGCTCCCTTGTACTCCAAATACAAGGTTATTTTTAATGGGTATCTGATAACCCAAATTCTTAGGCTGATTTATTTTTCACTTGCTGATTCAGGGGTGGATGTAGGTTGGTGGTAGAGTGTGCCAGGGCCTGGGTTCCAGTCCCTGAACTATAAGGGAAAGGTGCTGATTCAAGCCTGTGAAGTCACCCAAGGCCATTTCTTGCCTGGACTGTAGCTCAGATGACATTAATGACATGGCAAGATTTTTGTTTGTTTGTTTGTTTGTTTTTGTGACCTGGCCGAGTTGCCCTGGGTCTAGCATGCTCATCTAATGGCATTTCTTCAACTTTATTTCGATTCTCTGTGTAGAGGGAGTCACCAAGGTGACTCTGGGGATCCGAGTACTGCCAGGTGGTTGCTTTCATATCACGCGTGTTCTCTCTGGAGCTTAGGTCAGGTAATGGATGAGTTGTTTCCACAGCTGGAATCTAGCTCCAGGCCTCACTCCTGCTAGGTGAGCGCCTTGCACTGGAGTGCATCACGTGCCTCTCATGTCTTCTGCTGCTTACCGGCAGCTCCTGCCTCCTGCTCAAGCAACTAGCACTGTCTTCTTAAGCCTCTATTGTGGGAAGCAACACTATGTCTGATGTACAAAGAGAGGCTGTCTCATGCAGTAGAAACAACATGAACTCTGAATTTAAAAGTCTTTGTATTCATGAAATCTGGTCATTATTCAAGACATTTGATATATTTATAACTATCTTTTGTTATGTTCAGTTAGCTTCTTTTTTTTTTTTTAGATTTTACTTATTTATTTATTATGTATACAGTCTTGTGCCTGCATGCCAGCAGAGGGCACCAGATCTCATTCAAGGTGGTTATGAGACACCATGTGGTTGTGGGGAATTGACCTCAGGACTTCTAGAAGAACAGCAGCCAGTGCTCTTAACTGCTGAGCCATCTGTCCAGCCCCCAGTTGACTTCTTTTTTTACCATTCAGTTTTCTTCTGGAAAGCGAAAAAGAATTTCTGAAGTGAGTAGAAAAATAAAGTCAGTTTTTTCCAACAGGTAACCACCCATTTCACAGAGGACTTTGCACTGAATTCTGCAGTTTCACAGCTGATGGGACTCAGTAGTGCCCTCTTGGTAAGCAGCTGGACCTCACTTAGCTGAGGAGGGAGGGTGAAAGTGTTGGGAACATTTCTCCCATGGTCACAATTCTATCATACTACTTCAAGGTGTTTTGTTTTTTAAAGATTTATTTATTTATTATGTATACAGTGTTCTGCCTGCATGTCTGTCTGCACACCAGAAGAGGGCACCAGATCTCATTATAGAGAGTTGTGAGCCACCATGTGGTTGTTGGGAATTGAACTCATGACCTCTGGAAGAGCAGCCTGTGTTCTTAATTTCTGAGCCATCTCTCCAGCCCCAGGGTTTTAAAGGTTGTCTGTGCAAAGCCGTTTACTTTTCCTGAAACAGGGTCTTACTATGTGGGTCAGGCTGGCTTTTGACTGAACGACGATCCTCCTGCTTCTGCCTCCACTTTAAAGCTTTTTAATCTGCTGTGTTTTCTGAGAGGACATGAAGGCCCAGGAGGTTAGATGCCATGTCTGAATGAGTAGTTGCAAAGCCAGGGCCAGGCTTAGACCTTTCTCTCTTCTAACCTTCATGCCCTACTGCCTGATTTCCTGCATGCATCAGGCTGTTTCCCTGGCATTGTGGCATTGTTGATGTTTGTGTTTGCTTATCATAGATGGAGGGGAGTTGTCATTCCCACTGATGAAAAGAGCCATCATTTTCAGTGCCACTCATCTTTTTGTTACATGTGACTCCAGGTTTTCTTGACAAGGGAAGAATTTGTCAGTAATTGGTGACTAGTATTCACAGTGGGAAATCTTAGGAGACAGTTCTCTGCATTTTCCCCTGGGACACAACACACAGGAAACCTTGCAGTGTGCTTTCGGGTTTTGACCTTGTTCCCAGAGCAGTTTTCCTCCCTTGCCGGGGCTTAGTCTCTTCCTGTGTCAGACAAGGTACAAATCCTCCCCTTGAAGGGCAGTTGTGAGCACTGAGTATGAGGTTCTGTGAGGGATCCTTTGACCTCTATGACCTAACAGGCAGTGAAGACTATTTCCCCCACCTGCTAAGCCTCTGGATTCTACCTCTTACCCTTGCTTAATTTGTACATCAGTCTTAAATGTTCCTTACTCTTCCTTAGCAAGCCTCTGACAGAGTGGTTCTCCACAGCCGTGAGTTTGAGGACGCTCTGTGTGCCCTGCTGGTGATGGCTGCCCCCATGGCTCCTCACATAACCTCAGAACTCTGGGCAGGTATGTAAGAGGGTCCTTGTCTAACTAGTTACTTCTGACCAGCATTTGCCCAGGCCTCTCATTGATCATTGTTGTAGTTCAGCAAAGGTCTTGGTCACCGCTCTTCATCCTTTGAGGGTTCAGCTACTCACTGTCAGCAGTGTGTGTGTGTGTGTGTGTGTGTGTGTGTGTGTGTGTGTATGCCATGAATGTGTGTGGAGGTCAGAGGACAACCTTTGGGTGTCAGTACTCATCTTTCTACTCTGTTTTGAGACAAGATATTAACCTTTATGTAACCTAGTTTAGGTGGCCCAAGAGCTAGTAGAGATGCTCCTGTCTTTGCCTTCTGTCTCCCCATAGCAGCACTCTTGTACTACAGATGCTTGGGCCACTGTGTCCAACTTTTCCGTTGGTTCTGGGCATCCAAACTTAGGTCATCAAGCTTGCTAGACAAGCACTTTTATCCACTCATCCCTGACCTGTCTTCACTGCGAACTCATGAGTTAACATCAGATTTTATCTATTTTAGTATCCATGCCACTTCCACAAATGTTCATCCAGACACCGAGTCTCCATCTCACCAGGCTCTCTGATATTTTTTGTGTGTTTGTTTGTTGTTAGTTTCTAGTGTTAGAAATTGAGTCCAGCTTTGTGCACGCTAAGGACATGCTCTACCACTGAGCCACACCCCAGCCACTCTTGCAATGTGGATGTTGTTTTTTCAAAAGCATATGAGCAAATTCAAATCTCTGGGAAAGGTCAGCTGAAGTGGCCTTGCTTCCTGTGTGTTTCCTTAGAATCGCCAGGGCTGCTGTAAGCAGTGTCAGCACACACCCAGGCCCTCCTGGCATGCTCAGTGGAATTAGCTAGCACAGACAAGGATGGGGAGATGAGGGCAAAGACAGGCCCAAGAATGCCACCAGGAGAGGACTGCCATACACAGAAACCATGACCACTACTCCCAAGCCCCCAGCAATCACTGTGGGCCACCAAGGCAGCCTGGCAGCCTGTGCTCAGGGTGGGATGGGGGAGGTTTGGTTTTGTTTTCTGAAAGAAGGTCAGCTCTCCAGAGGTGAGGATGAAAGGGTGCAGCTGGCCCTGCTTCATAGCCCTGCATGCCAGAGCTTCGGCACTTATCTCCCACATTCGGACTTATCCTGTTTGGCCTGTCACTTTGGTTATGTTGTTGTATCTGCCATGTACATGTTGGGTATTTTCACTTAAAAGAGCAACGTGGCAAAAACCTGCACATACACAGCATCCTGAGTTCTACCCCCTGCAGCCAAACCACACCGTCCAGGGAAAGCCTGGTGAGGCACGGTACCTATAAATAAGCATCCTGATTACGCCAGGAAGTCTGGCTTCCTTGTTTTTTTTTTTTTTTTTTTTTTTTTTTTTTTTTTTTTTTTTCTCTGAATTTCTAGCAGCTTCTATCCAGAACATTTTTATCCAAGGCCCTTTCATCTACTAGGCATCCTTTATGACTTTTGTACTGAGGTTTTAGAAATCTTCCTGCTACATCTGGGTCATAGAACAAGCCCCCACCAGCTCAGCAAATAAAGACAATGATTGTCTGTCTTTTGTGACCTCCATCTCACTTTTAGAGAAGGAAGAAGTTGGAATCTTTTCTGCATTTGCCAAAAGGCTGTTAAGACCATTGAGAAGTACAAAAGCCCAGGCCAGAATCCTGGGCACCAGGAGGGGGTCATGTCTTATACTCAGGCTCTTAGGAGCCCTCACTTCCCTGCCAATGACTAGCAATACAGGGTCACCTGGGTATCAGAGAGGAAAACTTTAAAAGCTCCAATGAATGAATACGCCAGAGTCAAACAAGGTCAAGGCCAGTGGAATAGAATGCGTCAACACTGCTCAGTGGCTTATCCACAACTCAGGCTCACCTAAGGACTGTTAATTTCAGTCTGTGAGAAGAAGTGGTGCTTGTGGTGGGCATAAACCAGCGATTGCTAATATATGGCTGAATATGGCTGATCCTGTGTATGTATGCACATGTGTGCACACGTGTATTTGCAATACTGGTGTCAGACTCAAGACAGTGTTCATGCTAACAAACATTTCTTCACTCAGCTGCATCCTGAACTGTTTTTTGTTTTGTTTTGTTTTGTAAAGGAAGCAGTATGTGTTGATTTACATTCTGACCCCAGGTGTCTACATATACATATAATTTGAATATCTGAAGCCAATAGTCCTAAATCAATCCCAGTACAATAATATTTTGAAGGAAACCCCACAAACCAATAGGGAAGGAAGCTTTATGCAAACAAACTTGGTTTGGAAAAGTTTACTTTGTGATTTTGAAGATAATTTTTTTATTTTACAAACAAAATGGAATACTGCTAAATTTGAAAGTTAAATTGGGGGGCGGGGGGACGAAACCTTTCAAAGAAACCAAAAGAAAATTCCTGAATTGATTTCACAGTATGGAAAAACTCTATACTTAAATATCTTTCAAATTACTAAAGAGCTATGAGTGTTTCCCGGTGCTAGAGCACTTACTTAGCACACACAAAGCCCCAGGTTTATCGCCAGCATGACTGTTATATATACATATGTATGTATAAAAGCAATAAGTGCTCCTTGTGGAAAATGTTTAAAACAGTGTTTTTTAAAAGAAAAGGGGGTGAGACTAGAGAGATGGCTCAACGGTTAAGAGTTCTGACTGCTCTTGCAGAGGACCTGGGTTCAATTCCCAGCCCCCACATGGCAGCTCACAGCTGTCTGTGACTCCAGTTCCAGAGGATCCAACACCCTGACAGACGTGCAGGAATGCAAAAACACCAATGCATATAAAATAAATATTTTTTTTTAAAAAAGGGGATCTTAAGGTGCAGATTAGTGGCAGAGCATATACTTAGCATTCTTAAGGCCCTGGGTTCCATTTCTAGCCTTAAAAGACAGAAGGCAGAAGCCCCAGAACTCTCTAGAAAAAGGCTGGCCAGTGGTTATACCTTACCACCTTCATGTTTCCCACCCTAAGGCAAGGGTTCATTCCTGAGAGGGAGCCAGTGAGGCTAGAATATGTAGTAGGGTGAGAGAGCTAAGTTCCCAGGAGGGCTGAGAGCATCCTTCTGTCCAGTGCACTCTATATGTGGAAAAGGACCAGGGACAGGATGTTGAGACCAATGACCAAGGTACTCATGGCAGGAGAAGCTGTGAGTGCAGCCAGCCTGCAGTTGGGGGCCAGTTCGCAGGGGGTAACCCCAGAACACTGGCAGCCTTGCTTTTCCACTCATGTCGAGTACCAAGTCCATCCATCCTCATGTTTTTTATAGGTAGGAAACCAGCTGTGGGAAGAGGTCAGCTCCTCCCTGTGCACAGTACACCAGTTGATCCTCAGGCCCTAGGCAATCTTTGTTTCTACCCCACTGATCAGCCATGCAATCATAAGAGTGTCAAATAGGAAAAAGTTCTAAAAGTCACAAGAAATCTCTGATACTGGGACAAGAAACCCAAAACAGAAGCCAACAAAACCAAAAGCACTATCACTACTCAGAGTGTCCAGTTCACAGCCTCGTGGAAGAAGTCATGACATCCTGGCTTCCTCAAAAGGCTATAAGCCCAGGACATGAACCTCACTGTGTGTTCAGAGTGGCCTGACCTTCCATGCCTTGGTGTTGTAGGCCTGGCGCTGGTACCAAGCAAGCTCTGTGACCATTATGCCTGGGATGCCGGTGTGATGCTTCAGGCCTGGCCCACTGTGGACTCTGAATTTCTTCAGCAGCCCGATGTGGTGCAGATGGCCATTCTGGTGAGTGCCACCCACAGCACTAGACTGCCAGCGTCTCCATACTATCCCTTTTCTACTACTGACCCATCAACCCAGCCCCCAAGCCAACCCTTCCATTTGACCAAGCCCACAACACAGAGGTCTATATTCCCTTCTCTGTTCCTCCACTATTTCCCAGAAGCATGTAAGCACCAACTCTCAAGGCCTAGAAGGACTAGAAAGGGGAAATACCAGCCAGATCTGCCTTAATGACTTCTGTGTCTTCCAGCTGCATTTAGGAGCATCTGGGTAGGTTTAAGGCAGCGGGGTAGGGAGACATACAGAAGTTTACAGACATCAGTCAGTAAAGAATACCTCTGCTGGGCTAGAGAAATGGCTAGAGCACTGGATACTCTTCGAGAAGACCTAAGTTTGATTCCCAGCACCCATGTGGTAGCTCACAACCACCTGTAACTACATTTCCAGGAGCTCTTCTGCCCTCTGCTGGCCTCTGCTGGCACCAGGCATGCGTGTGATGCACAGATACATAGGCAGACAAACCTATGTATCGCATAAAATAAAATTTAAAAATTTAGTGCCTCTGCCAAACACATTTCAGTAAAGTTACATAAAATTCTTTTCCCTCTTTTATTTTTTTGGCAAACTGAACACTTTGAATATATGAGTAATGTTGGAGGGGAGTTCAAGGTTGAAGTTTTTGTTTTTTTTTTAGGTTCTGGGGTTGAACCTAGAGCCCAGGGCATTCTAGGCAAGTGGTGTGTCTTGCTAAGCTGCATTCCCAGCCCTCTTCTTACTGTTTACTTTAAGATGGGATCTCAGTAAGTTGATCAAATTGACCTTAAGCTTGATCTATAACCCATGCTGTCCTTGAGCTTTGATTCTCTTGCCTCAGCCTCCAAGAAATCTGGAATTACAAGCCTGTGCCACCAGGCCCAGCATGAGTAGTTTATTTGTTTTCCCCTTTAACCTTTTATGCAAAAACTAGATCAGTGTAGGTTTTCCTCTGTGCAGATTTGATTTGTTTAATATGAGACACATTTCTAGGGGCATCTGTTAATGGCTTCAGCAGCAGAAGGTGAAGAGACCAGGATAGGCTTTTTACCGGATCCTCTGGATGGCAGGTGGAGTGGAACTGGGTCATTTGCATCCAAATGTGGTTTTCTTTGTCTTGTCAGAGGCTACACCATTCTTAGTTAAGGAAACAGGCTCAAAAAAGGTGATTTACTTCACTCATGTCCAGTCCTGACTCTAGGCCAGGCATGGTGCTAGGTTCTAGGGATGCAAAGTCAAACAAAAGCCACACAGAGTGGTTTCTCTGTGATCTCAGCACTTGAGAATCTGAGGCTGGAGAATCACTGTCAGTTTGATGCTTTCTAGGGATACATGGTAAGACTTTGTTTCAACAAAAACAAAATAATCCAGTGGGACAACAGGGTTCCTATTCCTCATGCAGCTTAAAGCCCAGAGAGACAGAAAAGCTTAAAAGAAGGAAAAGAGGCCAGGCAGTGGTGGTGCACGCCTTTAATCCCAGCACTAGGGAGGCAGAGGCAGGCAGATCTCTGTGAGTTCGAGGTCAGCCTGGACTACAGAGTGAGTTCCAGGACAGCCAAGGCTACACAGAGAAACCCTGTCTCGAAAAAAAATAAAATAAAATAAAGAAGGAAAAAAAATAAACAAAATGTACATGTGTAATGGAAAGTGCCAGCATCACATCCACCCTGGACCACAGGAAGCCCATGTTTAGAAAGAGTCCTTAGCTCAGGAGTCGGGGCACCCTCCCAGCCTGCCTCCTTGTGGGCTCCCCTCACTCTTTCTGCTCTTTTCCTTCTCAGATCAACAACAAGGCCTATGGCAAGATCTCTGTGCCCCAGCAAGTTGCCCAGGACCAGGACAAAGTCCATGAATTTGTTCTCCAGAGTGAGTTGGGCACCAGGCTGTTGCAGGGGAGAAGCATCAAGAAGGCCTTCCTCTCCCCCAGGACTGCCCTCATCAATTTCCTGGTACAGGAGTGACCAGGGTTCAAGGACCCTCCTTCCCTGCCCAGATCAAGGAAAGGAATGTTAGCTTAGGAAAAGAGAAGAGACAAACATCAGGGACATTGGCCTTTGTGCCAGGACAGACTGAAGTCAGCAGGGGCCTGCGTGCTGAGGCCTGAACCTAGGAGAGAATGGATGTGGACAAAGAGGAACAAGGAGAGAAAATTCATTTCGTTGTCCTGTGACCCTTCATTCCCACTCAGGTTGTGAAGCTACCAGAGATGCTGCTGGGTGGGAGCAAGGAGAAAAACAAGACTGGCAAGCAGCCAGGAGCTTTTGCATCTACCTCTGGTACTGTCTCGGATACATCTCCAGGAGTCATGTAGACTAGAGGAGCCATTTAGGGTCAGGAGCTGCATGGTGTCAGGTGGTCAGATGGTGCAGGCTGGGCTTGCTTTACAGGATGGATCTTTTCAGCGTCTCACTTGTGGAACTGGACACGGACACTGGCATCTCTACAAACTGTATGTCTCCAGCACCTTTCACCTGTGTCACACAGCTCTCTTCTACTCCAGCTGAGTGGCCTGTTCTGAGTCTGATGTACATGCTCTGGGATAGGACTCCACTTATGAGCCTGAACAGAAAGACTGTGTCATAGCCACTGTTTCAGTGTGTAGAGTGTGCTCTGTGGTTAGTGAAACTGTCCTGAACTGCCAATCCCCTCCAGAGCTCCATCACAGCCCAGCAGGGGTTTGGACCCTAGATGGCTCACATGGGCCTCAGATAGTGCTACCACTGTTATCCCAGTTTGGTCCCCAGAATGTCACTAGCAAAAGCAAGTTCATCAAAAAGGAGTAGAATTGTTGCTTCCTGGTTGTCACCTCCTGTGTCCAAGCTGCTATGAGTGAGCTGTTTAGGAGACGGCCAGGAATGGAGTCAGCTCAACAGTTAATTAAACACAGCTGATTTTATGAGAGTCATTATTAGTGAAGTGCTCTTACAGACATGGCCTGAGCAAGGGTTCAGTACTCAGTTGGGGGGAGGAGAGAAGAACCTAGCCATCTCAGGATGCTTTACCTCTGTGTCTGTAATCTGATGTCACCCAGAGGTAACTGTCATTTTCTCCAACCATTCAGACGCCTTTTAGTGTCATAAACATCTATCACTTTGAGACATATCTGTGATGTTGGAAGAGCTCTATGTTCCAGTTCTAAGGGTTAATTGGAAGCAGACCAACGTCTTCCACCATCACAGGCCCTGGGTCTGTGCCACCTCCCTGGAATACCCATGGTCTGTCACCTTGAACTCACACTCCATACAGACAGTGCTCAACCAGGCCCATGAGCAAGAGAAGCTCATGCACAGGGTCTTGAGCTTGATACTGTGCCTGGTTTCCATGCCCAGAAGTTGTAATTTAACTGTAGTCATAATAAAGAATTTAAAATTTTTTACAGGTGAGGCTGCTGAGGGTGTAGCTCAGTGGTAGAGTGTGAGCCTAGCATGGCAAGGTCCAAGGTCCTATCCCCAACACAAAAAAGCAAAACAGTTCTCCTGAAGAAACTGTGGTAGCAGACTTATAATCCCAACATGTGTGAGGCACAAGGATCATGGGTTTCAAGTTATCCTTGTCTACGTTAGACCCTGTCTCAAGGAAAAACTACCAGTGACCCTCATAGACAGCAAAGTTTGAAAACACTGGATTAATGAATGTTTCTGAACTACAATTTCTACTCAGTCCTTTCTCCGTCATTTTCATCTTACCTCTGATGAGTTTGGCCCAATGCCATGAGGAAGTAGAGTTGGGAGAGACTGGGACCAGAAAGGAAGGCAGAGCCACTACCTGGAGAGGTGATTTAAGAGGATCCCCAAGCTGACACAAGTGACCCTCCCATGACATACAGGAGCATGTGAAGGTAGGGTGAGGGCGTTTGGCTGTTTTGTGTTCCCCAGGAATGAGCTCAGTGGCCTTCATGAACTAAGGGTTGGATGTCCTTTTGTTGGGCGTTATCTGTCCCAAGCAGTGGACCAGTAAAGTCTGTAGGCTGCTGGGCTGACACACTGGGCGTTGAAGAACATTCTCTCCAAGATGAAAGTTGGAAACATGAGCTCATTGGTACTTCTAGGAGAAAGTAGATATGATGGAACAATTGGACAGAAAATTGCTCCCTGTGGGCAGGTGCATGGGGTGGGGTGTGATCTGAGTCAGAAACTCATTATCTCAGTTTCCACACAGTCCTGGAGGATAGGAATTACTCTCATGAATATGAACAGAACAGCAACAGCAAAAACCACAAGAGGCTCAGAGACTCAGTAAGTTGCCTAGTTTTCAAAGCTAATAAATAGAAGAGGCAGGTCTAAACTCACATCTGGCCTCTCTTAATGCTGTCCTGCTGTGTTACCAGGCCTTCACCTAAATGCCCTTCTTGACCGATGTGTGACAACATGATGAAATGTCAGCCCTCCCAGCAGTCTGATTGGGGTTGCCCTCATGGGAAACTACTCTTCTGGGGCAGGGGATTGGCTGGTGAGAGGCCCAGAAGCCTGGGCTTGGTCCTGTAGGGCTAGGATAAAGGTTGCTAGCTTCTGGGAGATTTAGGCTCCAACTGGATGAAGGTCATTTCTTTGGGGACGTGGATGAAGAGAATTTATGAGCAAGAAAAATTGAGTCCTACATGGATCTTGCCAGAGTGCACTTCTGCCAAAGAAAATGAAACTGACTCCCAAGACCAAAACCCTAATTGAGGTGGTACACTGCCCAGGCATTCCTCAGCCAGCCAGAACCTCCTCAGAGAACGGGTCATTACACATGAGCATCCAGTCAGTGGAAGAGAAGGCAGCCAACTAAAGACACTCTTTAAAATTGTGACATGGAAATTTTCTCATAACTAAAAGCAAGATACCCTAGATAATGTGATCCTAACCTTGTGTTTTGAGTCAGCCTCACTCTGCAGCCAAGTTGTCCTGGAACTGAACAGATCTTCCTTCCTGCCTCATCCTGAGTACTGGGATTTCAGACATGCATCACCACAACTTTACATTTTTATCTATGTGTATTGCCAGCTTGTCTGTATGTATACCATATGCATGTTGGTGGCTGAAGAAGCCAGAAGAGGACGTTGGATCTCCTGGAACTAGAGAGGGGCCTGGCTCCAGGTTATGCTCTAACCACAACCCAAGAGAGTGAGCAGGCTCCTCCTCTTCCTTATAAGGGGTCACATCTGCACACCTGAAGCCACACCCCTGGGATGTGGCCACCACCGCAAGTTCACTGGCAAAGCAAGATGCCACTACAGTTGTAAGCTACCCTGCATGGGTGCTGGGAACTGAAACTGAGTCTACTATAAGAACTACAAGTTCTTTTCAGTACTGAGCTATCTCTCCAGCCCCACAAATCATTTGATGAGGGTCTTTCCTTCTGTTTATGATTTTGTATTTTCTTCTCTTTTTTTGCCATCAAGTATTTCAGCAATAGAAAGATACCAATATGTGTAATGTCAGCCCACTGTGGTAGTGCATACCTATAATCCCAGCTTTGGGGAGCTTAGGCAGAAAGATGGTCTGTCAAGCCGGGCGTTGGTGGCGCACGCCTTTAATCCCAGCACTCGGGAGGCAGAGGCAGGCGGATCTCTGTGAGTTCGAGGCCAGCCTGGTCTCCAGAGCCAGTGCCAGGATAGGCTCCAAAGCTACACAGAGAAAACCCTGTCTCGAAAAACCACAAAGAAAAAGAAAGATGGTCTGTCTGAAGCCTCTTGGGATACCAAGTGAATGAAGAGAACAATTGTAAAGATGCACATAAATCAGGAACCTAGCACCTTGTGTTACTTTATCTTCTGAGTCAGGGTGTCCAGCCCTCTGGGAATATGGGTACAGTTAGGGAATGCTTCTTCCTGTGTGTGGAACTGAATCCAGGGAGTCGCAGCAGCACTTGAAGCCAGCATTGGCCTACGTACTAGGTCTGAGTAGGAAGGAGGCTTCTCCCAGGCTTACCTTGGGATCTCGCAGAAGGTGCTCCTGCTCCCTAGTGAGCAGTCAAGATTATAGATGAGGTCAGAGAAAGCCCTTAGCCTGTGCCAAGACCTGTTCCCATAGCTTAGACAACAGTGTGGTGAGCTATCTTGAACTCTCCACTCCACAAATATCCCACTTAGAGCACCTTTTGTGGAAGCCTGATGCTGCTGCAGGAGCATGAGCGGACGTGCTTCTGAGTGGGAACAGTCACCCTGCAGCTCACGAGAAGGTGGAGGGGAGGCCAGTGGAAAAAAAAAAAAAAAACAAGTAGAAAACAGCTGCTTCCTTTGTGGGCGGCCAAAGGCTCCTATCCAGGCTGATGAGTTTGGAAAATGGAATCTGAGATGACCAGCAGTGAACAAGGGGGGATTCTCCTGGGTGGGGATGACCCTGATGGGACAGCTGAGTGCAGGACAGGCCTGAGACAAAACTCTCAGTTCAATGACTGAGGCCAGGGTTGACCCTCTCCCTGGTCTACACCCTTGGAGAAGGAAGGTAGGTACAGAAATAAGAGGCCCTAAGGGAAGAGGCCAGGCCTGCTGGAACTCAACACCTATGACTCACCTCCCTGACCCTCACACCCTGAACCTAAATTCCAGTTTTTGTTTGGCCTCTGAAGAGCACAGCTAAGCCAACAAGCACTTAGTGTCAAGATGCTGTGGGCTGTGAACTCTGCCGTTTCTGTCCCTTACTATGGACTGACTGTGTGCCAGGCTCTTTATCACATAAAGGGGCCTTGCTCAGGACCATACAGAGAAGAGGGCAGAGCCACATTTCCACTCAGCTCCACAGCTTTATTAGAACCAGCCCTGCACCTTCAGGCTTTCCCAAGGCAGGCCTGATAGCTAGATGCTACCCCAGGGCTTGTGGAGTAGCATTTTTCAACCCGTGACTGAGAAAGTTGTGCCTGTCAACCTATCCTAGTGCATCTGAACCTGAGACTGACCATCTGAGGAGTCATTACCTCTGGCAGACCCGGTTTCCCCTGGGCACTGTCACCAAGACTCAGACATCAGTAAGTCACTCTGGCTTGCTACACACACTACCGAGAAAAGTCTGAAAAGCTGGGTGGGCCTTGCTAGCAGAGCTTCGGAAATTTCCCTAGGACATCCTTTCCACAGACACCGAAGAGTGTATCTGGGATTCCTAAGGTATGGCCTGCCCAGAATTGGGAGACTGTGTCCTACGGGAGGGCTCCCCTTCACAGGCATATTGAGAAAGGTGTGTTGGTGGCCCTGCACTGGAAAGAGGCAGGCTGCATCACCCGGTGTAGGGCAAGTCCCTTCCACTAGAAAAGGCCTGTGGGGGCTTGGGGAGGGTGTCAAGTGGCATTGGGCAGAACTCCCCACCACAGTGAAGGTCACAAACAGGCTGGGCTGAGCAGTGGGAGCCTAAGTGTCACCCAGTGTCCCCATCATTAGTGATCAGCTTAGTTGTCAGTAAATAGTTTAGACATCAGCCCCCTCTGAGCAGTTACTGAATTAGTACCTAGGACGCCGTAGCTGCACTAACACCTAGCAGTCTGCTCGTGCCTCCCTTGTCAGTTATCCTCAGATTTAAAATGTTGGTGTCTGTGGGCTAGAGAGATGGCTCCGTGGTTAAAGGAGCTTGCTGCTCTCGCAGTGAACCTGTGTTCCATTCCTAGCATTCATGTCAAGTGACTCTCAGCTACCTAACTTCAGCTCCAGGGGATCCAGTGCTGTCTTGTGGCCTCTGAGGACACCTGTACATGCATGTGTGTATGTGCTTGCACTCACGCACTCGTGCGCACTCGAGAGCGCGCACACACACACACACACACACACAAAGCATTGACATCATCAGCCAATACTTAACTCCAGTGTCTCACACAGCAAATATCACCCCTGTCAGTCTGACTCTGAAGGGGGAATGGAGTGAGGGGCTCCATTCTGTGAATTCCAGCATGCTAGAGGGTGTGGAGTCCTAGCAGCCACCATCTGTAACCCCTGGCTTTTGAGGTTGCCCAGATATCCCAATGGCCTACAGAGAAGTCGGGACGTGGAGAGCCAGAAGGAGATTAAGAACTAGATCTCATTGCACAAGGCCCTCTCGCCTACTTCCTTTAGGCAAGAATCCAGCCATAAAGAGGTCAGCAAGTTGCATGGGGCTGGGCAGCTGCTCTCAGCAACAGTGCTGCACACGAAAGGGAGACCCCAGTCCTGCCACGTGACCATTCTTAATTTTCTAAGTCTTGTTCATCAGCATCTTTAGTTACCTTGTAAATATCTGAAGGATCTGCTGATACTGCTTAACTAGAACCTCCTGAAAGATGCAGCCATGAACCTTCTAAGTCTATAAGAGCTCCTGACTATGGTCTGAAATAGCTGTATAATCAGAGTCCTTTGCTGTCTGCCAAGCTGGACAAACCCGCCCTCCCCTCTGGCTTAGACCCCACTCTCTGTCCCACAGAGCTGTGTGACATGGGCATTCTTTGTGCTGATCTTGCACCAAGGGTTTTCTCTTTGGTCCCCAGTCCTTCCATTTTCTGCCTTTCATGAGAACCACATACTGGTTTGTGGAGATAATAATCTGGAGTGCTAGGAGTTTCGAGAGGTATGGAGGCACCCTGCAGGAAAACTAGGGAATCTTTCAGATTTCCACTTCTGAAGGGGCATGACTGTTTCTACAAGGTAGAAGTGGGTCACTTCTTTGAATGCCTCTATGTGTTCTGGTCCTCATTGCACCCTAACATACATGTGCCATGCCATACACATACATACACAGTACCATCTATACATTGTATATTCCAAACTACATATGAACACAGCATATGCATCTAATTGTACATACATGTCTCACATATAAACACACAACCCTCTACACCAGACACATACACACACACACACACACACACACACACACACACACACACACACACCATATATATAACACACGGCAACAGGCCTGCTATGGGGAAAGGCATATGGTGATTGAATTTTGTTTCTCAAAGAAATATGCAGTTAATCCTTGAGAACTAATAATGTCCCAGCTGTGAGGTAAGTGCCCAGTCCAAGGCCTGAAGGATGATGGAACAGATTGCTTCCCATCTCCCCATGTGTTCAGATAAAACAGTACTCTGCAATGTTTGTATACAGGTGCTCCCATCATCTGAGAATGGCCGGACCTGACCCTCATAGGCTAGTGAGGGTCAAAGGCTAGTTAGTTCTGTCCACTGGCTCAGGCCCTGAGTGTCTGAAAGTGACCTGGATACTACTAAAACTCTCTCCCTTGGATAGAAAATTAAAATGCTAGTGAGATCTGTAACACATGAAGTTGCTTGTACAATGACATGCACAGATACAGCATCCAAGGAGAAGCTCATACTATACATATGAACCAAAAGGCATATGTTCTTTTACATGAGAACCCAAGTGTTCAGTGGGGCTGTTTGAGCTCCTAATTCTCTGCACCAGCCTATTCCTCCCTGGAAGAATCTCTGTTTCTGTTACAGTTTTGTTGTATAATCTTTTATCTGGTTACACAAGAACCTGGAAACCCCCCGCCCTGAAGGTGCACAATTGGACCCCATGTGCTGAGGCCACTCCCACCTGCCTTGGCTCTTCCTTGTTTGAGTTCTTCCTCAACTGTATGCCCTCGGCCACGCCTTGTTCCTCTTGCCTGTTGTCCCTGAGAAGTGTGTCCTTTTTTCCTTGACACAGCCAAAAGCATTAACACTGTGTCCACTCAGCAGTTTGATGTGTATCTGCTTCTGTTATGTGGGAATGCCATGGGGCAGTAGTGATCTGCCTTGCTGTGGTGACAGATACAGCCCTGAGGAGATGATGGATAAATGTTTGAAAGTGAAATGCTGTTCTGTTCCTACTTCTGCCTGCTGGGGCTCTGAATGCTCACACTGAGATGGGTTAAAGCAGAGCTAATAACTGCCATGAATCAACTGGTCCCTGTGTTGGGATTTTGTATTCCTTTTTTTCTAAGGCTGTGTGAAAGAGTACCACAAATGAGGTGATTTAAACAAAAACAGCCATCCTTTCATACTGCTTGAAGCCATGAGTGCAAGCCTGGGTGTGGCGAGCCACCAGCATGAAGTGCTTTCTGGCCAGCTGTTTGTTGTCCTCTTAGTTTGAAGCTACATTCCTCTATTCCTGAACATCACCTCAGATACAAGCGAGAAACAATGACTTTCTCTCTGAGGCAAGCTAGTCCTCAGCCCATGGGGAAGAAGTCACACTACACAGCAGCTTGGCTTTTTGGTACCCATAGAGCTGCAGGACAGCAGAAAAACAAGACTGTTCAAGAGCAGCCGGGACCACCATGTCCAACCAAGAAGACCAACAACTGCCATTTGCTTCATCACAGTGGCATTCCACATCTGCCTTGCAGAATTGCCTGCTCTCATCATTTACATGGACCTGACACCATAACACACTAGAAAACTGTACAGAACAGAAAAAGAAAGTAAAGCGTCATTCCAGGTAACCCAGATCCACTCCTGGAATTCGTTGTCTTTTTTCTTGCTTGAACTCCTAAACAGTTCTCTTCCAGTTGAGCTGTTGGGGGTCGGGCAGTGACCGTCTCTTGAAAAGTGTGCACTTACTCTTGTGGGTACCTTTGTCCTGCAGTAAAACTCCCCATGATTTGTTTCAATTCTGAATTCTTTCTCAGCTGTAAACAGAACCTCTCCTCTCCTCTCCTCTCCTTTCTCTCTCTCTCTCTCTCTCTCTGACAGGGTCTCACGCATGTCCCACCCCGATCTCCCCTTCCCATCCTTCTATTTCACCTCCTAAGTCCTGGGATTAAGTAAGGCTTACTGTGTTTGGTTTATCTTTAATAATAGTGACAATTACTATTATTATTTTATTTTTAAGACAAGGTCTCTTGATGTGTGATAATGCTCCATCTACAGTCTCTCTATGTAGCCTTGGCTGTCCTGGAACTCACTGTGTAGACCTTCCATAATTCTTCATGTATAAGTGTTTTGCCTGCACCCATGCAAGTCTGAAGAGGACATTGGATCCCCTGAAACTGGACTTACAGATGGTTGTGAGTCACTATGGAGATGCTAGTAATTCAACCAGGATCCTTCATAAGAGCAATCTGTGTTCTTAACCACTGAGCCATCTCTCCAGCTCTCTTTCATAATTTACCTGGAACTTTCTATAAGAAAAGTTAGATCAGAAGCTAGGTACAGTGGTTCACACCTGCTGTCCCAGTACTCAGGAGGATCTCTGAGTTCTTGGTCAGCCAGTGAGCCTAGACTGCTGTTTCAGAACTCCTAGGTCAAAGCTGTTGTGGGCGACTGGCACCTTGTAGCTCTCTATAGGAGCCAGTTGTAGCATCCCCTGGTTGGGAGCACCCAAAGGCACTGACTCAGCACAGCTCTAGGCACAGGTCTATAATAGTGTAGCAAGGACCTAAAGAATTAAAATTTCTCCAGGAACTCTTATGGTGACAGTGAGAAAGCCTTTGGCCCTGGCTCCAGTGGAGGAACTAAAGAGACTCCTGTCTCCCGGGAGACTATGAGGTATTGCCTCACAGCTTATCTACTGGCTTTTACTCCTTTTCCATAAATTGTAACATTTCTAGGGGCAAAATCTATTTTGGCCTAAAATAAGTCCATTCCTCTTACTAATCCCTGCCCTCCCCCCAGGTTTCTAGTAAAGCAGCTAGCAGCAGACCCAGATTCTTGTTACAGGTCCAGACATAGCAGTCAGGCATCACTGACTTACCCGAAAGTGGGATGACGACCTGCGGTGGGCTAATGCTTTTGTCAGTTCCAGACCTACCCTACTTCAGCTATATCAATCAGTTCTCCACTAGGTGCAGGCCACAGAAAGGAGGCAGCCAGTCAACTGGAGTGAAGGTCAGTCAGGATAGCTGACCCCACAGCTCAGGAGGACCCGGGACGCACTTAGGTCAAGGGCGATTGGATGGCCTCTGGAAAACTGGAGGTGTGTGTGTGTGTGTGTGTGTGTGTGTGTGTGTGTGTGTGAGGGGGGGCAGAGGTGGGCTTCCAAAGCCACACAGATACTTAGATTATTACATTTTGAGAGACAGGGTAGCAAAGAATCTGCCTAACAGGATATAAGTTCCACATTCACCACTTCCAGGCTGTGGACTTCAGCAAGCTCCTTTTCTCTCCAATACCTTTTCCTTATTAAAGAAGCAGCTCTTGAGGCTTCTGGGCTGGGCTGGTTGGAGTACAGTAGGTGCCAGTGGCCTGTTAGCAGTTAAGATACACGATTCTTACGCTGACCATGACTAGGGTGTTCTGAGGGAAAACAAAAAAGACACACGTGTTCAGAAAGATTCTAAGTCCTTCCCGATGCATCACAGAATTGCTGAGAACATAGCATTCCTTTGCCAATGGTGGGATTATGTTCCAAATAAAGCCACTCTGTGTGGAAAGTATCAGAAGTTGAAAATGTATTTACTACCCCAATAAACACATTATGAAGTAAAAAATTGTAAAGTTATTGAATGCTGTCTGTGTGTCTAAATCATAGGTGTCTATCCTATAGATAGCCTGGCTTGTCTTTGTACAGGGTGTCTTAATTAGGATTACTATCACTGTGAGGAAACACCATGACCAAAAGCAAGTTGGGAAGGAAAGGATTTATTTGGCTTACACTTTCACATCACAGTCTGTCACTGAAGGAAGTCAGAGGAGGAACTCAAACAGGGCAGGAACCTGGAGGCAGGAGCTGATACAGAAGCCATGAAGTGGTGCTGTCTACTGGCTTACCTAGCATGACTGCTCAGCCTGCTTTATTATAGAACCTAGGACCACCAGTCTAAGAATAACACTATCCACAATAGCTGGGCCCTTCCCTATGCCAACTCTGTCTTGAAAAAACAAAATAAAGGAAGGGAGGGAAGGGAGAAAGAAAAAAGAAAGAAAAAATGTACTACATCTGGGTCTAGCAGAGATATTTTCTCAGTTGAGGTTCCCTCTTTTCAGATGACTTTGGCTTGTGTCAAGTTGACTTAAGACTTGCCAAGACAGCCGGGCGTTGGTGGATGCTGGTGGCACACACCTTTAATCCCAGCACTGGGGAGGCAGAGGCAGGCAGATCTCTGTGAGTTCGAGGACAGCCTGGTGTACAGAGTGAGTTCCAGGACAACCTCCAAAGCAATACAGAGAAACCCTGTCTTGAAAAACAACAACAACAACAACAAACAACAACAACAAAAGACTTGCCAAGACACAGGAAGACCTCATTGTAAATCACCCATCATGTCTATGAAGAAGAGACTGCTGATGGATTCCTGAGTCAACCAAGGAGAGAAATACCAACTGCACATGGGGCAATATGAGATTTCTAAAATTATTGTACACTGCAAAATGCCAGAATTACCAGGCATTGGTGGCACATGCCTTTAATCCCAGCACTCGGGAGGCAGGCAGATCTCTGTGAGTTCGAGACCAGCCTGGTCTACAAGAGTTAGTTCCAGGACAGCCTCCAAAGCCACAGAGAAACCCTGTCTCAAAAAAACAAAAAAGAGCCTCTCCGGCCTTGGGCTTAGGTTCCGGTGACATGGCCAAACGCACCAAGAAGGTCGGGATCGTCGGGAAATACGGGACCCGCTATTGTGCCTCCCTCCGGAAAATAGTGAAGAAAATTGAAATTAGCCAGCACGCCAAGTATACTTGCTCCTTCTGTGGCAAGACCAAGATGAAGCGACGAGCTGTTGGCATCTGGCACTGTGGTTCCTGCATGAAAACAGTGGCTGGGGGGGCCTGGGCCTACAACACTACATCTGCTGTCACAGTGAAGTCTGCCATCAGAAGACTGAAGGAACTGAAAGACCAGTAGAAGTGTGACTGCCTGAGACCTGCCTAGCCGATAGAAATAAATGGGTTAATTTACATAAAAAAACCAAAAAAGAAAAAATGCCAGAAGCAGGGAATGTATAAAACTTTTCTTTTGGTCTTCACATACCTTGGGAATGTATTTGTGCCTGGTTCTGCAGAGGGCACTGTTAACTTGGCTTGGAGTAGAAAGGATATCTTTGCTACTGTGTGCTCATTTGTACCTTTTGAATTTGAAGTCATACTGGCGTATTACTATTTTGTGTGTTCATAAGTGCACGTCATATGGAGGCCAGAGTCCGACTTTATGAGCCATCTACCTAGCTTTTTGAGTCAGTCCCTCATTGAACTGGAGCTCACTGAGTATGCTAGCCTGGCTGGCCATAGCCTCAGGGATCTGCTGCTTCATAGTTGGGACCACAAGTATGCACCACCATGCCTGGCTTTTTAATATGGGTTTGGGGTTGAAAACTCAGGTCCTCATGGCAACTGAGTCAACTCTCCAACCATGGTGGCTGTTATTCTAAAAAAGAAGGAGAAAGCCTGAGACTAGGGCAACTCAGAGCCAGCTCACTGTGTCTTATTTAATACCTGCTGTTGTTCTTCAATAGGGCTGATGGATGTTAGGCATTCTCACCCCTGTGAACATGTGACCAGGTGCATGGCTTCAGCCAGGCTGTCTGTGTGCTGCAGTACTGGGGCAGAAGGACTAGGTAGGAGTAGAGTTTTGCTGGCCTGGCGTGGGCCACACACAGAGAGAGAATAAGGTCACAATCCTAGATTCTGGGTCTGACCTGGCAGTGTTCCAGGGCAGAGAATGATGAAACAAAGGCTCATTACAGGCAGCAGGAAAGGGCCTTCAAGGCAGCTGCTTCTCTCCATTCATGGGGCTGTTCCTCAGGGAGGCTTGGGGCCAGAGAGGCCTGAGGTTCAGGAAGCAGATTTGGAGCAGCCAGCACTTCCTGGCCTACTCTGGGCAGCAGTAGGATGGAAAGAGCTCAAAGGAACCTCACTGGCTAATTCTTTATCCATCTCCTCAGCTGAAATATAAAGATTCCATTCAGAGCTGCCCCTGCAGTGGAACATACTTTGGGACACATACAACATTGTGCACAGGGACATTTTCTATGGCCAAGCAAAAGCCATAGAAAGGCCCTTTCAGTTCACTGCAAAGTAAGCAGGACTCTATTCAAGATCAGAGGATCTTTGCCTCATAAGTCTGGTAGCTCCATGGACACAGTGATCTGCCTAGAGGCTGCAAGACAGGAATTTTCAGATGCCCTTGAGTACATCATTATTTACTCATACCTACATTAAAAACATATGTGTTTGCATGTAAATGTTTTTTTCAAGTGTAGGGCTCAAATCAAGAATTGTACATGCCACTGAACTACATCCTAAGTCTCTACATTTTTGAGACAGTGGCTCACTCCATAGTCCTGACTGACCTGAAACTCACTATGCAGCTCAGGCTAGCTTCAAACTCTTACAGATTGTTCTGCTCGGCCTTATAAGTGCTGAAATTACGTATGTGAACTACTATGATCAGTTTGCAAACAGATATTCCTAAGTAGAGTTTATACATTTAAATGCACACACACATACCTATGTGAAACCACATTATTCTTACCCTTTCTTTTTTGTTGTTGCTTTTGTTTTGTAAGACAGTCTCATGTAGCCTAGGTAGGACTAAAATGCTCTTAGTAGTAGGATCCTTCAACTCCCAATCTTCTTGTTCTGCCTCCCAAGTTCTGGTGCTGCAGGCATAGACCATCACATCTGGCTGAAGTCACACTCCTGACTAAACTATGCATCATTAGTATTCACGAAATATGCTTTGGATCAAATATCTGGTTACAAAATAACCAGTTAAGATTTATAGATGGATTGCAGAAACACACATGGTTATAAGGATAACAATGTGGCTTCCATTTGTTTGTTTGTTTCTAAAGATTGAGTTACCAATTAACTTTTCCTACCTGTAAGTGCTAACGCCTTTGATCCCTTTGCTATTATGAATAGCTATTTTTTTCCGCCTTTCTTGAGTAACTCTGTCATTTGTCAGGTACTATTCTGAGGTCCTGGGTGACAGCAATGATGCAAATAGTCAAAGGCCCATGGTTTGGCAAGGTTTGCACTTTAGTGAGACTGATGGAAAAAAAATCAACAAGGAAGAAGTTCCCTGTGTGTCTTGGAGAAATGGTGTTGGGAAGGGCTTCCCCAGGAATGGGCTTGAGTGGGACCTGGGAATTGTGTATTTTGGGGAGGGATTTCTAGGTAGAGCAAATGCCTACTCTTGGTACCCTGTTTCTAACTGGCCAAAGCTGGCACTGATTAGACCCAGCTCTCTCTCTCTCTCTCTCTCTCTCTCTCTCTCTCTCTCTCTCTTTCTTTCTCTCTCACAGACTTGAACTCGAAAAACATAAGCTACCATAGTGAACTCACTGTCTTAGTTGTAGTTTTTATATTGCTGTGAAGAGACACCATGACCACAGCCACTCTTACAAAGAAAACATTTAATTGGAGTGGCTCGCTTACAATTTCAGAGGTTCAGTCCATTTTTATCATGATGGGAGCATGACAGCATGCAGGCAGACGTATTGCTGGAGGAATATCTGAGAGTTCTACATCTTGCAGGCAACTGAAGTCAATTGGACACTGAGCGATATCCTGAGCATGGAAATCCTCAAAGCCCACCTCCACAATGACACACTTCTTCAACAAAGCCACACCTCCTAATAGTGCCACTCCCAGTGAGCTTATGGGGGCCAATTACATTCAAACTGCCTCACTTACTTTGGTGAACTTTATGCCAGAGACTCCAGGTGGGGCTGGGCAGCTCCTAGGACTTTCCTGTCTCCTGTGTCACCCATACTCTTACTCCACAAAGTGGCCAGTTTCCAACAGGCACTTCACTGATTTCAGCTACCCACTCACTTCCTATTTCATTGAAAAAAATGCAGGCCATTAGAATAGCTTCCATTCTATTAATAAGATCTCAGTATCATTGTCCTTACTGATCCACCGATTACTCAAACCCTTCCTCTTTGTTACCTCGCATACGAGTGCATTGAATGCCAGGTCCCATCTCTGCAGACGTCACTCCACACACCCTTCTTCCTCCTGCATTGACAGTGCTCTCTCCACAGGTCCTACTCATACCCACAATATGTTTTCTGTTTCTAATTTTTGTAGTTCTGAGAAACAAACTCAGGGCCTTTCTTATGCGAGGCAAATGATCTCCCATTAAGATATATCTCCAGCCCTCTTTTTATTTTTAATTTTGAGATAGGGTCTCATTAAGTTGCCCATACTAGCCTTGAACTTATCTTGTAGCCCAGGCAGGCCTTGGACTTATGAATCTCCTGACTTACTCTCTTGAGTATCTGGGGTTATACCACCAGATCTAACAATGTTCTGCTTTTTGAACAACTGATAGGCAAGAATGAACACATCCTTTTTTTTTTCTAACATATCTTTTTAAAAATTTTTCTTTTTTTAACCTTTATTTTATATGCATTGTCGCTTTGACTATGGATGACAGATCCCCTGGAACTGGAATTACATACAGTTGTGAGCTGCCTTGTGGGTGCTGGGAATTGAACCTGGGTCCTCTGGAAAAGCAGCCAGTCCTCTTAACCACTAAGTCATCTCTCTAGCCCCTTGAACACATCTTTTAAGAATATCCACTTATGACCAGGCGTTGGTGGCTCATGCCTTTAATCTCAGCACTTCGGAGGCAGAAGCAAGCAGATCTCTGTGAGTTTGAAGCCAGCCTGGTCTATAGAGCAAGCTCCAGGACAGGCTCCAAAGCAGTACAGAGAAACCCTGTCTAGGAAAGACCAATAAGTAAATAAATAAAAGAATATTCACTTCTCATCATCCATTTATTCATCCCTTCACTTAAACTGTATGTGTTGTAGGAGTTGGATCTACCATACAGTTTCTGGAAATCAAACCCAAGTCATCAGGCTGGGCAGCAAGTGCCTGTACTCACTGAACCACCTCACCAGCCCTGAACACATCCTTTGAGAGACTAGTCAACAGATGTTTTCAAACACATAAAACAGACTAAACTGGCCTCCATTAAGTAACTGTGGCTGGTATTCTAAATGTTGTGGGCAGAACTGGAATAATCTTGGTCTCTTCAGCATTGAACAGCAACAGTAAAACATTCATAGCTTCCTGACCATATGGGGCATTGTTCATGGGTGTTTTGCTTACAGTATGTCTGCGCACGGCATGCATGCAGTGTGTAGAGAGGCCAGAAGAGGGTGTTGGAGACAGTTGTGAGCCACCATGTGGGCAGTGGGAATAAAACCCAGGTCCTCTTAACTACTGACCTACCTCTCCAGCCTGTTTGCTTTAGATTGCTGTGGCTACTGTAATGTAAAAAATGTAAACTATCCCGGGTCATCTGGGAGCTGTGTAGGGAGTGTATCCTGGACCATGGGGGCGGGGAGGGGGTGCAGAAAAGCAAGACCTGGCACCCTGGACCATCTTGAGGTTCAAGTGTCTCCAAATGGACGACAAGCCTCTCTGGACACGTGTAGCATAGAGTGTCTAACACAAGTGTGTTCCAAGGCATCACTTTAACAACAACCACCCCCCCTCTTTCTTTCCACCCCCCCACCGCCTCTGTCTCTCCTCTCTCTGTCTCTC